AGTATCCATTTAAGCATTTTTTAAAATGGCAAGGGATGAGCTGAGAATATAAAACAATAATTGAGCACTTTTATAGCATATACAAGGCCCTGGGTTCGATCCCATCACCACAAAAAAGCAAAGAAGTGGTAAGAGGCTGAGAGTCTRGCTCAGTGGCAGAGTACTTGCCTAGTATGTGCAAAGCCCTGGTTTGATCCCCGGCACTGTAAAAAGAAAAAAAAATGGTAAGAAACTTAAATCCAAAAGTAGGAGATAATAAATGATATAACTAAATATAAATAAGTTGTGTATGTGGCATTTTCTTATATTTGAAGTATAGCCATCAAGAAAGTTGGGCCAGGCACAATGGTGCATACCTGTAATCCCAGGGGCTCTGGAGACTGCGACAGGAGAATAGCCAGTTCAAAGCCAGCCTCAGCAATTTAGCGAGGCCTGAGCAATTCAGTGAGACCCTGTCTCTAATAAAATACAAAATAAGGCTGGGAATGTGGCTTAGTGGTCAAGTGCCCCTGAGTTCAATCTCCAGTATCTACAAAAAATTTTTAAAATAACAAGAAAGTTGGTACAACTGGCTGAGGTGCATGCCTATAATCCCAGTGGTTCAAGAGGCTGAGACAGAAGAATCACAAGTTCAAGGCCAGAATCAGCAACTCATCGAGGGCCTAAACAACTTAGTGAGACCCTGTCTCAAAATAAAAAGGGCTGGGGATGTGGCTGAGCAGTAAAGTATCCCTGGGTTAAATCCTCAGTACCAAAAAAAAAAAAAAGTTGGTGCAGATTCATTAATACACAGAGTTGTCCACTATATTGTTGAGAAAAAAAGTTAGAAGGCAGCATGTATGATAAAGTATCCCATTTTTGTTTTAATTTAAAAGTGTGTGTATATATGTATATATGTAAGAAAAGTGTGGGGCTGAGTCTGGGACTCAGCATTAACACATTTGCCTAGGTTCGATTCTCAGTACTGCATGTAAATAAATAAAATAAAAGTCTGTCAACAACTAAAAAAAAAAAATTTAAACCATRATATCTAAAAAAAAATGTGTATGTGTGTATACATATACATACCCAACCCACATATATATTTATCTATAGGCTGAGGTAGAGCACTTGTCTAGCATGTGTAAGGCACTGGGTTTGATCCTCAGCATCACATATAAATAGATAGATGTAGCTATACAACTTAAAAAATTGTTTTAAAGGGTATATGTGTTTGTGTGTGTGTGTGTAACTAAAAGTCTTCACAGTTATACACTGAAATGGTAGCAGTAATCATTTGGTCATAGAATTGAGAATTTGTTTTTTCCATCTTAAATTTTTAAATGGAGAATATTTATAGTATGATTTTTTAAGCATTTTAACAGTGTAGTGTTTCATGGTTGAGCTTTAAGAAGTAACTATGAGATTAATAGTGTAAATCAAATTAAATACCAAATATTGAGTAGATGACCACCTCCATTGCTTGCCAAGTACTTTTTGTTGTACCACCTAGCTTCCTTGGACTAGCATTGCCTGGACCAAATATGGGCAATTCCGTGTAGTTCTCTACACCTTTCCATATTCTGAATTTTAGTGCAGGTAATGATTATGATTTAAAAGTTTTAAACCCATTTCTGCTACTTCCCTCCTGACACTCTTGCCAAATTTCTTTTTGTGGCCCCACTGTTTGCACCTCCGTTCCCCCCACCACTTTCCTAGGACTCACCTTCCAGCTTCTTCTAAGGCAGGGCTCAATATTTTCCCGCCCTCAGCTCACCTCTAATTAGGACCTTGCGTGTGTCAGGACGGGCTTGGTACCCTGTACCTGTTCCTAGGTGTGCAGACTAGTAGTTCTGCCCCTTGGTCATCAGTCCTCCAATGCCCTCCACCCTTACAGAAGATGGCTTGTTCTTAGACTGTTTGTTTATCCTCCATGTAATTATAGACTCCAAAAGGCATGTTTGTGCTTTCACTTTCAGACTGTAGAATGTGAAGAAGGAAGTGAAGACGATGAGTCCCTCCGAGAAATGGTGGAATTGGCTGCACAGAGGCTGTATGAGGCACTCACGCCAGTTCATTGACTACCTTTTATCACTGTGTGTGTTAAAAGCTTTTTTAAATTGTGAGTCTACTTCTGTTATTTCAAATAAAATACCTTAGTTTTCTGGGGGTAGCCTGTTTACCTTTGATATCAAATGGCCTTTATTCCAACAACACACTAAATTACCAACTAATCTGTCCATTTTTCTAGAATTAACTACTGAATAAACTGCTCATTATTTTAGAATTGATTCTACCTCCCAGAATGTATGCAGTTTCACTGAAATCTTTTGATATGTTCATAGGAAATAAATCAGAATTTCTTATATTTACTAAGGAAAGAAAATAGTGTTTTGTATTTTCACATCTATATTCTGAATTTCAGTGCAAGTAATGATTATGATTTAAAAGTTTTAAACCCATTTTCTGCTACTTCCCTTCTGACACTCTTGCCAAATTTCTTTCTTTTTGTGGCCCCACTGTTTGCACCCCCACTCCCCCACCCCCACTCACCTTCCAGCTTCTTCTAAGGCAGGGTGTAAAACCCCACAAAGGGTCCCAGCCCTAGTCCTTCCTGGCCCCTTCAGCCAGCATGGCCAAGGGTGGAGCAGGCAGTTTCTTAGGTCTTGGAGCCTTTACCCTTGGGACCAGAACCAGTCTAGGAACCTGGAGGAAGGGAGCAGAGGAGACAGCCTAGAGGGTTTACCTTGGCTTTACAAGGTTCTGGGGATCCAGCCTCTGGGTTAGGGGAATATGTTGGAAACTAAGGCGGCTGGTCAGACTACAGCAGGCAGGAYGGAGGTTATAGTGCAGACAGGACTTCTAGATGGCACTCAGCAGTAGCCAGCCAACCTGCAAATGTGAAAAAGGGAGCCAGTCTAGTCTCATCAGCCTGGTTTTAGGAATCCAGGTGTCATGTGAGAACACTGACTTGGGAGTCGGGTGGGGTCCTGGACTTCTGGAAAGACAAAGAGGTGGTGAAAGGAAGAGAGGTTCTCAAATTCTTAATTTGTACATTTGTAAAATTATGACTTTAAAGACTCATTTTCTTTATAGTATCTACAGGTCAGGAAAATTCAGTTTTTATTACTCAAATGTATTCAGGTGGCAGTTGTTTCTGGTGTAAATTTGTTCATTGGTCTAATTTCCTGAAGTATGTTTAACAATGCAGGAGTATCTGCAGTTTAGCTCTGCKAGGGATCTATAATGAAAATGGCCTTATTGATACATCCCCCCAGGAACAAACAAGTGCACTGCTAGCCAGCATCTTCCCTCACAGCTGTCCATGGTGCTCATGGGCTTCATCTCTTAGTGATATGACCTTCTGTAGCTCCTCTGATACTCACCTTCAGTATATAAATCTGATTGTTATTTAAAATGAAAGATTCATTTATATAAAAATAGCCTACTTACCTTTTTGGGTTTTTTTAGTTTTGTTACTGGGGATTTAACCCAGGGACACTTTAMCACTGAGCAACATCCCCAGCCCTTTCATTTTTTTTTAAGACAGGGCCTCACTAAATTGCTGAGGCTGGCCTTGAACTTGCAATCCTCCTTCCTCAGTTTCCTGAGTCACTGGGATTACAGGTGTGTGTCACCATGCCTAGTTTTTTTCCCCCTCTTGTACTGGGGATTGAATCCAGGGGAGCTCCGCCACAAAGCTACATTTCYAGACCCTTTTTTTGTTTTTGTTTTGGAGACAGGGTTTCCCTAAAATGCCCACGCTGAGATTACTAGTTAGGATTACAATGGGCCACTGTGGGCTGCATAAAAGAGCCTACTTACTATAATCTTCAGYCCATACTAAAAGATCTCAATTTTCACCTTTTATGTGTCAGAAGATTTTATGATAATCTGGGCCCAGTGGCACATGCCTGTAATCCCAGCAATTTAGGAAGCTGAGCCAGGAGGATCCCAAGTTTGAAGTCAACCTCAGCAACTTAATGAGACCCTATCTCAAAAAAAAAGGGGGGGGGGCKGGGGATGTGGCTCAGTGGCCAAGAACCTCTGGGTTCAATCTTTGATACCAAAAAAACATATGATAAATTTAAAAACATTGTTACAAAAAAATCACAGGCTTTTTGTAATACTTTAACAACATAAAATGTATAAAATGAGGAAAAGCGCCTTTCCCCTTAGTCCCACACCGTGTGAGTAAGCAGTTTGAGTGAGGTTTCCAAACTGTTCCCGCCCCACGTGCTCTCAGCCCTCTGATCTCTGGCTGGAACGGATTCCTACAAGGGCACATTTGACCGCCGCCGCAGCTTAGGTCTGGGGGATTGGGACGAAGTCGGAACACCTCAAGACTCGGCAAGGGTTCTCCGTCTGGCGCAGGCAGTGACCCCTGCCGCAGTGCCGCCACACTAGACGCGTTCAGGCGGACTGGAGTGAGGGTCCGCGACCAGCCTTTTTTTTTAAAGCGCTCCAGAGGACACCAGCCGGAASCCGCAGGCTTGTCGCGCAGCGCAGCACGCCAGCGTCCTCGGCCACTTGGGCACAAGGTAGGCGGGCTGCCGGTASCTGCGGGACGCCCTGTCCTGTTCCCACGTCGCCGGGCCGAACGCTTCACACGCGCCCGGGCTGCCCTGAACGGCGGTCGTGCCAGGGGCCCCTTTCGTGACTGCGCCGATGCTCTGTGCCGCAGCGCGTCGGGGCTGGCGCCAAACTGCCGTCCTCTCGGGTGGTCTGGGGGAACTGCCGAGGGCGCCGCGGGAAGGCCTGTTTCCATCCCCTCCGGACCCGCGAGATACGGGAGGCTGAACTTCCATAAAGGCACAGAAGTAGACCTCCCGGCGCCCGGCGCCCGCCGCCGTGGCCGCCAGAGCACCGCCTGGGAAATCGAGCGCCACGCCCACCCCACGAGCGCCACGCCCACCCCACGAGCGCCACGCCCACCCCACGAGCGCCCCCCTTCCGAGGGCTACGCCCACGAGGGCCCGCCTCCCGAAGGCCACGCCCTCAGGAGCGCCGCGCCCGGGAGCGCCAGCCTCCGAGCCTCCCGCGGGAGATCCGGCCTGCACTCGGCGTTCAGCGCGCAGTAGTATGGCGGCCTGTGCGGGGATGTCTGGCGGGAGCTCTCTGCCTTGGCCTCGAGTGTTGCTTTTCGGGGACTCCATCACTCAGGTACCGCCGCCTCGATCGCCCCGGAAGCTCGGCCGCGGCGCCGTGGCGCGGGTCGCTCGAGCGGCGGCTCCTGAGGCCCGGCCTGGGCGCGGGAGGGTCTGGGCCGGGCCGCCCGTGCGGGCTGCCTGGGGGCACCGGCGGGCCGCAGGTGGAGGGTGGACCGTGGAAATGCCCTCAGGAGGAAAGCCGGAAGAGCTTTCAACTCCCATCCAGGGGAAGAACGTTTCTTAGTGACGACGGGGCTTGAACTTTTAGACAGGGTCTGGCTTGGCTGCCAAGGCTGGCCTCAAACTTGCCACCCTCCTGCCGCAGCTTCCGGAGTCGCTGGGATGACGGGGGGCGCCGCCGCGCCCGGCAAGGAAAATTATTGTAATACATGATTTCGGAAAGATAGTAGGTGACGTTCCTGAACCGCCCAACGTGCAGACATCTAAATCAGGCTTCTGTGYAGATCCGCCGTCAGTGTCAGCATCAGGGCAGTAAGAACCTCTCAGGGACCTTGGGAATGTGTGTATGCAGTGTCCACCCGAGTTACGTCTAAGGAAGCAGTGGCCGGTCCCCCTGGGAGCGTGGACCCGTTTCTTGGCTGCACGCACAGGTGACTTCACCCCGTCGTTCACCACGAGCCTTTTTTATTCCGACACAGGGTTGCACTAAGTTGTGGAGGCTGCCTGGAAAACTCGACTTCCTTCTCAGCCTCTGGAGTCACGGAGATCACAGGCGTGGCTCACCACACCTGAGTAGTACCTTTTTAGGTGACAGATTTCTCCAGTATTAGGTCTCTAATAGGTGGCTGGCTTAAATCCACTTTCCTAGAGTTCTGCCAGGTGAAGCTACAGTTGGCCCCAGGACSTCCTCCCGAGTGAGGAAGGGCAGGATTCAGGAAGTACACTAGAGGAGCTGCTGACCCAAGTTCCCATGCCTAATGTTCTGAGTATACCGATTAGTAATGGGCTTCTCTTTCTTCAGTTTTCTTTTCAGCAGGGTGGATGGGGAGCATCATTGGCTGACAAACTGGTCAGGTGAGAATAGTTTCCAGATTAATACTGGGTATTTACTGATGGTAAATGTCATCTCAAAGTGAACGATACCACGAATTCTTTATTAATCTCTGCTTTCCTTTCTTAGTCAATGTATGGTTAGRGAAACAGAAAGGGCAGCCACACAGGATTCATCAAAAAGCTTTGGCACCATGTGAAATCAAACACAAAAACTGTGGAACCAAAAATTTTGACTGTTTGCCGTCTAAAGAAAACTAGTCGTTTTTTCAGTTATGATGGGTATGATTTAAATTAGTGGAGGTGGATAGAAAAAAATCATTTTTTAAAAACTCAAAGTTGGATTCATTTTGAATGGAATAGTATACCGAACCCATATTCTTCTAGTAGGTAGATACCTATCAGGAACTAGGAAGCTCTATGGTGAGCAAGTGTTACCTCAAAGGATCGCTGGCCTGTTGAATGGCATCTCCATTCACTGCTGTAAGACCAGAAAAATTCAAGTGCACCCTCAAGGTAGGATAGATAGTAAAATGGTCAGGTAGTCAAGGTAATGGGCCCAAATTGAGGCTCTTTTCAATTGTACCTGTTCATGAGAATAATCAGAAACATTCCAGCCAAACCTAGTCCCTGGAAAATGGAAGTGGAGGTGGGCCTTAATGGAGATGATAGGAAAATTCAAACTAAGGGCTAAAAGAGCACAGCCAATTAGGTAGTTTCCAGACAAACCAATAGCCTAGATATTTTTCCAGTACATGTTCAGCATAGGTTTTGACTAATAGCATTAGAACTGTTCCAAGCATAGATATTGAGTTCCCCCACCCAGCAACTATATAARCCCCAGGCTAGTACATTAAAGTGGCAACCCTAGCCGGGTGTAGTGGTGCATTCTTGTAATCTCAGCAGCTCAGGAGGCTGAGGCAGGAGGATTTCTAGTTCAAAATCAGCCTCAGCAAAAGCRAGGTGCTAAGAAAGTCAGACCCTGTCTCTAAATAAAATACAAAATAGGGCTGGGGATGTGGCTCAGTGGTAGAGTACACCTGATTCAATCCCCAGTACCAAAAAAGGAAAAAAAAAAAAAAGGCACCCCTTTTGGTTTCTTTTGTGCTACAGGAGCTCTGACTCTTTTCACTTTAATAAATCCTACTCTTATCTGAATTTCATTCTTCAAATTCATGAAACAAGATCCTGGAAAGGAGGTACTGGCAGGTGGCTGGGGTCTGCTGTAACACTATAGCAGCAGAGGCTGCTGTTTCATATCAAATGAGTTCTGAGTGACACATTCAGTGGTTATCTCTGCATGCTTGGGGGTGAATTTTTGTAGTAGGTTCCTATGTTTGCTTTAGCCATCTGCACAACCCTGAACTGTTCCTGATGTTTTAGTTTAACCTAATCTTATTAAGAAATGCCTTATTGTAACTATCCATCTGTACTGCCTCCATGGACACCAGTGAATTTTAAAATACAGAATTAAGTGTACAGTCCTCAGCCCATAGTGACAACCATAAGTTTTTAAACAGGCTCTTGTAAACTCATAGCAAAAAGCATTTTAACAAATTTTAAATTTATTGGTACATTTTCATAATTTTTAAACAATATCCAAGTTTTCTGAAACCCAAAATGCTGAGTTTGAAAGAGTTAAACTCACCCTTTTCAGTTTTTAAAAGCTGCTGTTTCTTTTGAAGATGTGTGGTTGTCTACTGTCATTCATAAAGCACCTAATTTATTTTTCTGGAAAGCAGGTTTTTCTTCTCTTTCATAGCATTAAGGGTTGAACTCAGGGCATTTTGACACCCTGGGCCCTTTTAATTTTGAGGCAGGGTCTTGAAATTGCCCAAGCTATCTCTACCTGTGATCCTTCTGCTTCAGCAGGTGTGCACAGTATGGAATGCAGTTTGTAGGACCTGCATGTTTTTGAAGGAGTCTAGTTAATTCTTATCCTTTTTCATCTTCATATGGATTTGAGTTCCTGTTATTATCTATGATTTTATATGCAAGTTTTTGATTTTCTTGTTTCTTTAGCCTTTTGAATAACTTAAGATACTGCTGACTTTTTTTATTCAACCCAGAGAAATTCGGATATGCTTCTCTTTTGGAAGGGAATCTTTTAACACTTTCAACCCTGGGCCTCACTGGTACTTTTGTCCTGGTCTTGACTCCCAAACGATCATATAATGATATATATTTTTTTTAAATCTGACTGCCAATTATTGAGCTCCTTATGTGTGTCTAGCCTTTACATTTAATTTTCACTCAGCCTGGCAGATGAGAATTAGTCCCTGGCCAGTGCCTTCTTGTTAGTCAAGGATGGGAAAATCCAGGCACAGCTGCTAGGATTCCAGACCTCGTGGTTGTACTGCTATGACTCTGACTTATGAAACTGTTTTGCCCTTCTTAAAAAGAATGTGTCCTGGGGAGAGTTGCTGGGAATTGAACCCAGGGCTCTTGCATGYTAAGCATACATTCTATCACTAAGCTACACCCCTAGCCTTGCCCTTTGTTTTTGAAATGCTACAGTGACTACATCATTGAATGAATGTAAGACATACCCACTGCGTTAAAATTCTAGAGAACTTCCATTTTAAAGTGTTGTGGCTGGATTCTAAATGGCTTGTTTGCTTCCTGGAATCTTTACAAATAAAAACATYCAGGCTCTTTTACAAATAAATATGGCTGGGTTTTTGTTGTTGTTCCCAAGATGTACAAATGCTACTTGAGAGCTTTCAGAGTAGGTCCATGAAAATGAGACCCTTCCTGCTGCCTTCCTTGGAGTCTGCCACCTGGCACTGCAGCCTTCAATTACTGGTACTGCAATTTTTTCATTTTATTGTTTTACATGTAAGAATTTGAACCATATACCAAAAATGAACACCAGTTTTCTAATCATAAAGTTGAAACTGCAGATTCATTTTATTTATATATATTTTTGGTACCAGGGATTGCACTTGGGGGCACTAGACCACTGAGCCACATACCCAATCCTATTTTGTATTTTATTTAGAGACAGGGTCTCAGAGTTGCTTAGCACTCACAGTGGCGGAGGCTGGCTTTGAACTTGAGATTCTCCTGTCTCAGCCTCCCAGGCTGCTAAAATTACAGGTGTGTGCTCATTTTATTTTAAAATACAATTTTATTATCTATTCGACATAAATAATACTGGAAATTGAACCCAGRGGGGCACAATCCTCCTGCTTCCAGTATGCTGGGATTCCTGGTGTGCACCAATACCTCTAAAGACCTTTTTATTATGGACAGCTTTTAATCATCTACAGAAGCAAAGGATATAATTATCCCATCCATCCTTCCCACTATGAATTATTCTGATATTATTATTTACCAAAATAACTTTCTTTTATGATAGAGCCCCTGTCAGGTGACTAATAACATCTAAGGTGTTCTAAAGTAGTGTGATCCTGAAGTGGGATTTCCCTCATGTCAGGGACACACTAGCCAAGGATGGATCTGGCATGTAAACCCCCGCAACCTGGTTCAAGAGCCATGGTTGTATTGTGTGTGTGTGTGTGTGTGTGTGGTGGTGGTGTGGTGTTTTTTTTTTTTTCTTCATTGTATCAGTCAAATTATTTTCAGCCCTTTTTATTATTTATTTTGAGACAGGTCTTGCTGAATTGCTGAGGCTGGCTTCGAGCTTGCAGTCCTCCTACCTAAGATGCCCCAATTCTTGGGATCATAAGCATGTGCCTCCATACATAGCTTGAGTCAAACTATTTTTAAGAAGGGGTTGGGGAGAGATGCCTGTTAATGAACTAGTTAAAAACTAATAATAAAATCATTTGAAACCAAAAGTCTAAAATATTTCAAACACCTCAAACAAAATCATTGAATTTCAGTTTGTTAGTGATTTTCTAAGATACTGTACTTGGTCACATTAATATCCATCTGTTGTGAACAGTTTTAAAGTTTTTCTCTATACTACCATGAAAGTCTTCAGACTAAATCAACCCCTTCAACATAATTTATCACCTCCCTCTTTGAGGAGTATGGTGATTTACCTGTGTCCTAGAACTGACTTCAGAGAGATCAGCATGTTTCAACCCTGTACTTGATTTTACTGAAGTGAAAGCTGGGCTTGGTCAAAGCCACGTGCTGGGATTAGAAGCCCAGCACACCCTTGCTAAAGTGGGCTACCAAGCAATTCTTTGCTCAGTTAAATCTTTTAACAATCTTTCATTTCAGAAGATGTGATGTTCTGAATCGTGGATTTTCAGGTTACAACACCAGATGGGCCAAAATTATTCTTCCAAGACTAATCAGGAAAGGGAACAATTTGGACAACCCAGTAGTAGTTACAATTTTCTTTGGCGCCAATGACAGTGCACTAAAAGGTAATGGCATTTTTGTTTTCCTAGTTAATTTTTAGTCATTTTAACATTAGAGCAAACTTGGATTTATATACTTTTAACTGTTTACTTATATTCCAAAAGAGAAAGTTTCACCAAACGTATGCATTCCTTGAATTTGTTTATGTGGATTTCTTCTGGCTCTGCTGTGGGTGGTTTTTATTCCCATCCCTCCATYGTTGGCAGACTTAAACTGCAGCACTTTGTTTCTGGAGTCCATTAGTGTTATGCTGTATTTCCAGTGTTTCTCTTTTTGTGCGTGCTTTTTTATATATAATCGGAAAGCATTACAATTCTTATTACACATATAGAGCACAACTTTTCAYGTCTCTGGTTGTTACATAGTATATTCACACCAATTCTCTTTTTAGTGGGTACAGTTGTCAACAGGGCTCAAGATACACCCCTGCAATTTGCATTTCACTAGTGAGAAAGGATGTAAGAAATTTGAGGAAAATAAAGTAAATATTCCCTTTGCATTTTACATTGAATCAAAATCTTAAAAGAAATTTTAATGGTGAATTTTAATCATATGTAGAATAAGGATAAATACTTTCTAAGCACACAAGCAACTGAGGAAATTGCAAAGAAAAAAACAGTTTATTAAATTTTGACATAGCTTATGTTGGAGCTGGGGTGTAGGTTAGTGTAGAGTGCTTGCCTAGTAGCATCACAAAGTCCTGGGYTCCATCCCCAGGGTCTCACTGACTTGCTTAGCACCTTGCTTTTGCTAAGACTGGCTTGAACTCAGGATTCTCCTGTCTCAGCCTCCTGAGCTCTGGAATTAYAGGCATGCACCACTGCGCCCGGGTTACATTTTAATTCTTTAAGGAGGAAACCTTAACAGTTCCCCAGTGACTTCAAGAATTGTGTGCATGCCATGAAAGTGGTTTCATTTTAATCATTGCCACTTTGAGCCAAAAAATGTGTCCTTTATGAACAGATGAGAATCCCAAGCAGCACATTCCCCTGGAAGAGTATGTTGCAAACTTAAAAAGCATGGTGCAGTACCTGAAATCAGTGGATGTCCCTGAGCATCGAGTCATACTCATCACGCCACCTCCGCTTTGTGAAACAGCCTGGGAAAAGGAGTGCATCATGCAAGGTAAGCCAGCCATGCCTAGAGGCATCAAACCTGGACATGAACACTCAAAAGACATTGGGAGGGCAGTACTTCCTGCTTGTGGGCCCTGTATTAGTCTGTTTTCAGGAGGCTGAGGCCAGTCTAGTCAACTTGGTAGGATCCTGACTCAAAACTTTGTAAACAAAGTTTTAAAAAGGAACCTGATGTGGGGCTGGGATATAGCTCAGTTGGTAGAGTATTTGCCTCTCGTGCACAAGGCCCTGGGTTCAGTCCCCCAAAAATAAATAAAAACATGATGGGGCTGGGGAGTAAGCTCAATGGTACAGTTTGAACCCAGGAAT